GTCACTGGGCACAGTGGCTCACGCCTGTAATTCCAGCACTTTGGGAGGTCAAAGCAGGTGGATTATGTTTGAGACCAACCTGACCAACACGGCGAAACCCCATCTCTATTAAAATACAAAAATGAGCTGGGCACAGTGGTGGGCACCTGTAATCCCAGTTACTTGGGAGGCTGAGACATAAGAATAGCTTGAACCTAGGAGGCGGGGGTTGCAGTGAGCTGAGATCACACAATTGCACTCCAGCCTGGGTGACAGAGCAAGAATCCGTCTCAAAAAAAAAAAAAAAAAAAGTTACATCAAACTATAAGGAAGAATAAAAATTATGGCCACCTCAAATTCTGTGTGGTTACTGAGCATAAGGTATCTGCTGAAGAACAGCTGCGGCATCAAGACAAACAGCCACACAGCCAGGCACGCCTCAGCTGTCTCGGCCTCATGAGCCACAGGCACATACACAAGCTACCCAACCTCACAGAGCCCCATTTTTTCACTTTGTAAATGGGCTAACTCTGCCTTTCTCCTTGGGTTGATAAAGGCAAGAGTGCTTGTAAAAGTACTCTGCATCATCCGGGGCACAGGGGGACTCAGAAAGGCAGGTATTATCATCAGTCTTCACACAAACAAGTGACAGAAACATTTCTTGTGTAATTACACAGGCAATAGCGTTTCATCGGAATCAGAAAAATTCAAGATGTCTGGCCTAGGGGGCTCGCTTTTGCCAGTCCATCTGCTGCAGACTCGACAGGCACCAAAGGCTGAGCAAGCCCAGCTGAGCACTGTAAGGAAAGCCCATCCTGAAAGGAGCGGCTCCAAGCGCAGCGGGCAGGGCAGGGGTTTGCACAGGGCCAAAACAGGAAGGGGTGGTATGTACCGATCCACGAGCTCCTTTACTCCCTCCTTGTCAGGCACCAGAGACTGGTCCTGGTCATCTGCCAGCGGGGTCCCTGCCTGGCGGTAGATGCAGCGCACTGTGTAGCGCACTTCTGACCAGTAGTTCTGCAGCTGCTGAGGTTCCCGGTCCGCCTCTGCCGAAATTTCTCTGTGAGACAACACAGGAAGGTTAGAAACTCACCACAATCTGCTGCCCTTCCTCACCTAGCACATTGTCCTCAGAGGACCTCCCAGACTCTTGTACCTTGCCCAGCTCCCAGGAGCCGGCAATCAGGGTGATGGCATCCCCAGCACAGCTCCCAGGGTGCACTCTGCGTAACAGCTTAGCCACTGCACAGATGACAGGAGCATCTGTGGCTACTGTCCATAATAAGGGTACCCACATCCCCACTGCTGATCTGGCCTTCACCTCCAAGGTACCTAATGGGCAGCCTTGCCCCCACCCTTTGACCCCCACTTGGCTACATGCATTCCTTCCTGAGTCAGAGTACAGAGCATTTTTAGATCTGCTCCCGGGCTTGGCATGGTGGCTCATGCCTATAATCCCAGCACTTTGGGAGGTGAAGATGGACTAATTGCTTGAGTCCAGGAGTTTGAGACCAGCCTGGGCAACATGGCAAAGCCCCATCTCTACAAAGTATACAAAAATTAGCTCCACACAGTGGTGCGCACCTGTAGTCCCAGATACCGGGACTGAAGTGGGAGAACTCACTTGAGCCTGGAAGGCGGAGGTTGTGGTGAGCCGAGATCACGCCACTGCCCTCCAGCCTGGAGGACAGAGCCAGACCCCGCCTCAAAAAAAAAAGACGAGCTCCTGGGCTCTCCTCTCAGCCACTCAGCGGCAGCCAGTCAGGCTCTCCCCCCTCACTCCTCTCATTCACTGAGGCTGCTCTTAGATTCTGATTATTTAAGGACTCCTCCTCTTGTTGTGAGGATGCTTCCTAGTGCCAGTTCCTCAAGAGCGGGAGTTTTTGTCTTACTCATCTGGTTCTTTCCCACAATAGCGAAGCAACTGCCTTACTCTTGTTGCTGTCTGTCACATTAGCCCAGTTTCTCGGTCCAGCTCCAATATGCAGGTCTGCATGTCACTGTGGACAGGTGTGAGCAACGTGGCACACACGTCACATACCTGCGCTCACTGCAGGCCTCGCACGAGCATGCGGTGTCCGAAGGCAGCGTCTGTGCACCCAGAGCGAGCCTCCCACCACTGCCGGCCTCCGGCTGGGAGCCACCAAGTGAGGAGTGAAGAAGAAAATCTTGGTTCTGCTTTAAAAAGAGAACAGAATAGACCAGTTATGTTAAAATGTTCAAGGCATCAATTTTTTATTAACTGCTCAGGAAAATGCCTTTTAAAAACTGTAAAACGTAGACATTGAAAAGAAACTATCTTGGCTGGATGCAGTGGCTCACATTTGTAATCTCAGCACTTTGGGAGTCTGAGGTGGGTGGATCACTGGGCAACATGGCGAAACACCACTGCTACAAGAAATACAAAAAACAGGCTGGGCGTGTCGGAGCCTGCCTGTAGTCCCAGCTACCCAGGAGGCTGAGGTGTGAGGATCATTTGAGCCTGGCAAGTTGAGGCTATAGTGAGCCGTGATCATGCCCCACTGCACTTCTGCCTGGGTGACAGAGACATTGTCACACAGACACATGCACACAAAAAGGAAACAATTCGGCTGGGCATGGTGGTTCACACCTGTAATCCCACCACTTTGGGAAGCCGAGATGGGAGGACCACTTGAAGAGCCCAGACGTTTGAGACCAGCCTGGGTAACATAGCAAGACCTCGTTTCTATTTAAAAATTTTTTAAAGTATAAAAATTAATTGATATTAAATTTAAAAAGGAACAGTTTTACTCCCAGTGTCCTAATCATCACACATGATGATCACCTCAGTGGGCACCTCTGGAAAGTGACATATGCCCACGGTCGCCTAAGACAGCACTTGGTAGAAACCTAGTGACCTCTCTGAGCCTAGCATCAAGCAGCCGGGGCAGAGGCCTCTCCGTCCTGGGGAATCCCACAGCCTGCACTGCCTGCTCTGACTGAGGAACAAGGAGGCTTCAGAGAACACTTGGCCAGGCACGATGGCTCACGCCTGTAATCCCAGCACTTTGGGAGGCCAAGGCGGGCGGATCACGAGGTCAGGAGTTCAAGACCAGCCTGACCCACGTGGTGAAACCCATCTCTTCTAAAAATACAAAAATTAGCCAGGCATGGTGGTGCATGCCTGTAATCTCAACTGCTCGGGAGGCTGAGGCAGGAGAATCGCTTGAACCTGGGAGGCAGAGGTTGCAGTGAGCCAAGATCGCGCCACGGCAGTCCAGCCTGAGAAAGAGAGAGAGACTTTGTCTCAAAAAAAAAGAGAGAGAGAGAGAACACTGGGCAAAGACTTTCCTATGTCCCATGCCCAACAGTAAGCACCAAAAGGATTTCACCAACAACAACTAGAGAAACACAACATAACCTCAGGTTCCTCCTCCCGCTCAGTCACCCACCCATCCGGCACCGGGGCTCCTTCTAGAACAGGTCCTGAGAAGGACTCTGCTCCTTGGGAAAAGGGGCTCAGGTCTCAGAGCTGAGGGTGCCCACAGGGTGATGCAGGGTGCTAGAAAGGCTTCCCCAGGCTCACGATAGGGGCTGCCAGCTCCATAATCATTGCGTTCCCCTGATCCCCACAGCCTGAGGAAGAGAATCACAGTCACAAGAGAGACTTCCAAAAAGGAATTCACCTAAGTCACGAGTATTGCACTATTCCCACTCTGGTTCCCACAAGGAAAAGTGTGCTCTCCTTACTAACCCCTCCCCCAATCAAACATGAAGCCACTGAGACAAGCCCTGAGAGAGATAGGTGGTGGCCTATGGCAAGGAGCCTGGGGCTCCCCCTGGGCTGGACTTGGCCAGGTCTGTTCAGAGGCCTGCACCACCCCAGTCTGCTGCTGAGCCAAGCACAAGGAAACTCCCAAGGGCCTGTGGTGGGTGCTGTGGAGTTGGGACACAAAGACACTGGGACAGGCCTCGCAGAAAAGACCCTGCAGCAGAAAAGACCCTGCAGCAGAAAAGCCTGAGCATTGCTAAGTGGGCAGAGGATTAAGACAGCAGGGGACCTAGCTCAGCTGCCACCAGCACACAGAAGGGCAAGAGCTTGTGTCATCCTGAAAGAATCCCACCCCAAACAGGTCCTGCTGGGAAGCTGACCCCAGAATTACACCACGAGGGAGCAGGGCAGAGTGCGGGATGGCAGTGGTAGGGGGAGGGGGGCAGGCTGGTTGTGCCACACAGAGTCTCAACCAGACAGTCCAGCATGAAGTCCCTACCGAGGTCTCAAAAGTGCCCAAAGGTCTGAGGTTTTGCTCTGTTCTGAATGTTTGTGCTCCCGCCCGCCCCTGTTCATAAGTTGAAATTTTAACCCCTAAGGGAATGTATCAGGAAGTGGGGCCTTTAGGAAGCGATTAGGTTATGAGGACGGCGTCTTCGTGAATGGGATTAATGTCCTTTTATAAAGGAGGTCCCAGAGAGCTGCCACATCCTTCCACCGCATGAGGACAGCGAGAGGGCACCAGCTATGAACCAAAGCTCAGCCCTCCCCAGGCACCAATCGCCAGCACCTTAATCTTAAGACCTTCCAACCTTCCAGACTGTAAGATATAAATGTCCGCTGTTTGTAAGCAGCCCAGCCCGTGGTATTTTGCTGTAGCAGCCTGAGCACACTACAGCAGCCTCCCCCAAGAAAGAGCCAGCAACCGCTGGGCCACCCATTAGGACCACAGACCTAGTGCTAGTGGGCCAAAAAGAACCCGAGACAACCCAGAAGAGAACAAAGACCCCCAAGTCTCCACTCCAGAGCCCCTTCTCCACCCTGGAGGAACAGGGCAGGCATAAGGAGGCAGGACATACACCACCGCCCTCCGCCCATGGGGACTCCTGCCACCACTTAACTTGAGGGGAAGAGGCTTTGGATTAATTAGATGAGACATACAGGTTTTTTGTTTTTGTTTTTTGGGGTTTTTTTTGAGACAGGGTCTCGCTCTATCACCCAGGCTGGAGTGCAGTGGTGCAATCTTGGCTCACTGCAACCTCCACCTCCCACGCTCAAGCAATCGTCTCACCTCAGCCTCCTGAGCACCTGGGACCATAGGCGTGCGCCACCACGCCTGGCTAACTTTTTGTATTTTTGGTAGACACAGGGTTTCACTATGGTGATCAGGTTGGTCTCAAACTCCTGAGCTCAAGTGATCCACCTGCCTTCGTTTCCAAAAGTGCTGTGATTACAGGCGTGAGCCAACACGCTCAGCCATATTTAGGTTTTTATGTAGACTGGACCTGAGTACCTGAAAATGAGGCTACTCCCATACCAAAAGTGGCTGGAAGGCCATGGGGTTCTGATTGATGAGGCATGGTAGGACAAGAAGAGGGCAGTGGTAGAGGAGGCTGTTTCCTAAGCGGGTCCGTTCCCTTCAACAAGCAAGGTTCACAGTCTCCTCCATCCCACAGTCATCTAACAGCAAAGTTGTCCACTCCACCTCAATCCTAAATACCTCCACAATCCACTCATTCTTCCTCCGCTGCTTCTAACCCAGTCTAAGCCATCATCACCTACCTCTTGCCTGCACAGCTGCACTGCCTCTCTCTAGTGGCACACCTATTTCCACAGGTACCTGCTAATCATGCATTCTCCAGGCAGCAGCAGAGTGACATCACAGAGCTCCCAACATAAAACCTCTGTTCTCCTTCGGAGCAAACGCTGTATCACTCCTCTGTTAACACAGAGGAGCACTGTAACTGCTCCTCTGTTATCACTTAGGAGCAAACACTGTATTTCTTACTACAGCTTTCAAGGCTGCTCAGGTCAAAGTTCTGCTTTTAAGTCACTGCCCTTGCTCCCTTTGCCTCGTACCCTTAGCCCATGAGCCTCTGACTGGCTTCTGGTAGACTGTAGAGTGTTGTCCCATTAGGTAGGCCTCAGCAAAAAGATCACCTACTCAGGGAGGCTGGTTGAGCCAACTGATTTTTTTGCCTCTCAACTCCAAATCTTCCCTTCTTCACCACACTTACAACAAAGGAGCTGCACCCTATAAACATTTCTCCTCTGCCAGCAGGTAGGTACAATCTGTGGTCGTGTGGGTGGAAGGTGCTACAGGGACACTGAAGAAGGGGTCTCCCTCCAGGTTCCTGTGCTTTTCTCATCTTGTTCTTACCCCGAGGCAGCTCCTCGTCAGTGGTGTGCAGGGGACTAAGAGGCAAGCACTCTCCAGCACTCAGTCCCAGCGCCTGCAGGACCTCAGGGAGCCTCTCTGCTACCCAGTGAGGCATAACAATACCCCCTCCATGTCAGGGCCTCTTCCAACTTTGTTCCTTTCTCGAGTCCCCTCCCTAAGCTCCCATTAGTGGCTGCCCCCTAGATCTGCCCTGGCCATACTCTTTAGGGTTCACTTCACAGATCTGGGTGGCTGACCCCTTGCTACTTGTTAATTACTTTGAGTTGCACTCTTCTTGCCCAGGCTGGAGTGCAATGCTGTGATCTCAGCTCACTGCAGCCTCCGCCTCCTGGGTTCAAACGATTCTCCTGTCTCAGCCCCAAGTAGCTGGGATTACAGGAGCCCACCACCATGCCTGGCTAATTTCTGTATTTTTAGTAGAGACAGGGGTTTCACCACGTTGGCCAGGCTGGTCTCCCAACTCCTGACCTCAGGTGATCCGTCTGCCTCAGCCTCCCAAGGTGCTGATTACAGGCGTGAGCCACCGCACCCCACCACTTGTTAATTATCTTTATGTTAAACACGTGCTTGTTCTGATTATGGGTGTAGTGCCCATCTCCTGAGCTCTGGCTTCCTCATCAACCTAAACATCCCAGTTAATTCCTATTAAACTGCTATCTGAAATCCTGGTGTTCTACTCGCGTTCTTGTTTTTTTAGCTGTCTTCAACACTGGAAAATCAGTTCATGAGAGCCATAACCTATCTACTCGCTCACTATGGTACATCAGCACCTATGATGATGGCTGGAATGCAGTACACTCACAAGAGCAATCAAGAACTTGAAAGCAACATTTCCGGGAGACGAGATGAAGGTAAGTCTTAAAATAGGGTACGTGATGACTACATATTAAATCCTTAAATGTGTCCCATTATAGAACTCACAATATACAGATTTAACTTCAGTCATGTTTCACCCAAGTCTAACACAATTTAAAAGAAAAATAACAAAATCCAGCTATTAACAATGTAAAATTCATAATGTCCACCATCCAGTAACAAAAT